TTTGAGAGAGTTTCTTGAAAATTCATTCATTTTGATCTTGCATTAAAATAGCCTTTATCTTGATGACTGAGCATTTTGGTGCCCCCCTTAAATTATGTGCCCAAGGTGAGCACCTTAATCTATCTCACCCTAACCCCAGCCCATTGTCATTTTATCTTAAAACTAAGCAGACACCATAAACTGCTTGCTTACTGAGCAGCCTCACCCAAGAAGAATTGAATTCCTTCGCTGCCTTTCTTCTCTGTCTTTTGGGATCACTTCATCTTTTGAGTTGCAGAGCGGGAAAGAGCATGCTCCTGAATTCACCCCAGGAGTGCCTGACTGCAGTCTTCCTGCAGAGGGCGCTGTGCAGGTCCAGATGCCTCAGGAGGGAGCCGTGTTAGGTAGCATCTGGCTGATTGCCCATCAGGTCGTGCCTATCCCTGGCAGTAGGGTTGTTATGAAATCATCGACTCTTTCTTTGCCTTCAGGGATGAAATGAATCTATTAATATTATCCTCAAATAACCTATCTGATCTCAGACAAATGCCAGACAGAGCTGAACTCCTCTGCTCTGTAGGTGGCCATAAAACCCAGACAATTTTCCCCAGGTGTTTTTGATGGCACAGACATAACTTTTGTGAGATTCTGTTTTCCCCAGTTCCCCACAGGTCTCGTGGAACCAGAAGGGTGAGCTGCTTACGCATCTGGAAGGGAAAGCTCTGTGCGTCAATTCCCTAAAACAAGTATTGACATTTTCCCCGAAATGCCATCCTCTCCTCACTGCAAGTGCCCGCTGTCCTGGGCCTTATCCGCTGGGTAGTTGAGAAAAAAGTGGAGCTGGGATGGGGACAGAATGAAAGAACCAAGATCCGTAGCACCAACTCACACTCAGACCCCGAACGGCACCTGAAGGCTTCTCTTCACGGGAGGCTCAGCAGTTTTTCTTAGTAAGTGGTACGAATGGGCCACGCTGTTTGGAGGCAGATAAGGCTGTTCCGTTTCCCCTCAGTGGGCACCTGGACGAGGCACATCCCTGGCGGCTGGATTGGCTTCTTACGAATCAGATGGTGACGTCAGTAAGTCATGCTCTTTCCTTTGAATTCCCAGCTCCCACGGTCTCCAGATTCCAGGCATAAGATGAAAGGCTCGGGTCTCGCATTCACCCTTCTCTCTGCCATGTTTTACCTCCTCTGCACTCCTTCTACTGGGCTGAAGACACTTCATTTGGGAAGCTGTGTGATCACCTCAAACCTTCAGGAAATACAAAGTGGATTTTCCGAGATACGGGACAGTGTGGTATGTACGGGGACATTCGCCTCTCCCGGGTGCCTCTCCTCCTCCCTCCTTGTCTGGCTCTCTCTTCCCTGGGAGTGTGATCGTGAAAAAAGGCAGGTGGAGGACTCCTTACCAGGAGGGTGCATTTCCAAGAAATATCTGTAGTTCCTAATATAAAAATGTTTTGGGAAAGGTTGCCTCCCACTGTGCCTTGGCAGGGAGGGGAGACGAGATCTTGCTATCTAAGACCCTGGCAGCAGTCACTGACCCATCCTTTCTCGCTTTGTCTGCTTCTGTTTAGCAAGCCAGAGATGGAAACATTGACATCAGGATCTTGAGGAGGATGGGGTCTTTGCAAGACACAAAGGTATGTGCTTGGCTCAGACAAGCTCCAGGAGGAAGTACGGCGTGGGAGCTCCTCCATTACCCTGGTCTTGTCTCTGTCCTCACCTCCCCTCACCAACACACTTGTCTCCTTTGCAGCCTGCAGATCGGTGCTGCCTCCTCCGTCATTTACTGAGGCTCTATCTGGACAGGGTATTTAAAAACTACCAGACCCCTGACCATCATACCCTCCGGAAGATCAGCAGTCTCGCCAATTCCTTCCTTGCCATCAAGAAGGACCTCCGTCTCTGTGTGAGTGAGGGGTCTTGGGTAACATGATTCACCTGAGTCCATAGCTTCAGTGATCTAACAGCCAAGCTCTCTTTCTTACCCCCATTTAATGGCTGGAGAAACTGAGTCCAAAATTTCTAATAATCTGTGTCAGGCCATGTCACTAGGTAATAAGAACTCAGTTTTATTGATTTTTCAGTATATGCTCTATGAAAAAAGTGCTTTGTGATGTCTAAAGAACTACAAAATGATAGCTATTTGATATAATGACAATTCTCTATTATCCTTGAAATTACGCTTTTTCTGTAGATGAAGTATCTTACGGGTACTACAGCATCCTGTGTCTAGGCAGCCAATCAACAGGCCATTGGGTTTGCTCTCAGAATATGAT